CCAGGAATCGAACTCCCCACACTTGGTTCCAGAGCCCCCCAATGTGATTGTTCCGCCAACTTGGATGTGCCCTGGGGGGCAAATTGCTATGAAGTTATTGTGTCACTGGGTTGTGTGTATGTAATATATATTAATACGTTCTTCACTTCTTTAGTGAATGCTCTGTTTGATTCTCATTATTTTATTTAATAATTTTTGAAATAGTATTTTTGGGAGAATGTGTAGTAAAAAAATAAGGAAATATTTACGATTAATGTCTAATATTATTATAAGGAAGATTGTGTGCTTGAAAATGAGAGAGGAAATTTTATAATTTGAAATAATAGATCCAAACTGATCTTGTGTTTTTAAAAGGGGTAATTACCAAAAACAGCCCTATCGTTTTCACTCATTGAGAAAATAGTCTATATTGATTCAAATTTGACATTCATGCTCTCATTTTACAACTTTCTTGCCAGTTTAACCTTTTCATCATTCCGTTAAATTCTAATTTGCTCAAAACGTTCTTGTCACTTGCTTTAATTACACAAATTGTCCATATCATTTTAATTTTGATATTTGATTAACATTTCTTTATTTGAAAGGTCCTTATCAATTAATAGCCTAATATTGAACTCAAACTATGTGCACATAAGTGCTACCACTTCGTGCTGTAAACTAATGAATGTGTCGTTTCTTAACCTATCAAATCAAGACGGACAACATTGTCAATACTTCTCGAATATGACTGTTAAAGATAAAATGTAAGAGATTTTTTGAAAAATCTGATTTGAATTTTCTCTCATTTGGTTGCAGCCAGAATTCGCCAATCCGCACACGACACATCTCTCTCTATCTTGATACAGACGGACAACATTGTCACGACTTCTTGAATGTTATCATTAAAGATGTAAGAGATTTTTCCAGAATTCGCCAATACACACACGACACATCTCTCTCCATCTTGATACAGACGGACAATATTATCACGACTTTTTGAATGTTGCCGTTAAAGATAAAATGTAAGAGTTTTTTAAAAAATCTGATTTGAATTTTCTCTGGATTTGAATTTTCTCTCATTTGATTGCTGTCAGAATTCGCCAATCCAGACACGACACATCTCTCTCTATCTTGATACAGAACGTGATGTGAGGATGAGATATCACATTATCCTTCGAATTCTTCACTTTCTGATCGTGAGTTTGTTCTCTGCAAATGGCTTCAACCAACAACGAAATAGAATACGAATTCCTCCCATTTATTCGAGTCTACAAAAATGGCCATATCGAAAGACTCATGGGTACTGATTCCATTCCCGCCGGCACTGATCCTCAAACCGGTGTTTCATCTAAAGATGTGACGAATATAGTTCCCGAAACAGAAGTTTATGTCAGAATTTTTCTCCCCAATCTCAGCAACAAAAGTAAAAAAATCCCTATTCTTTTTTACATTCATGGAGGAGGTTTTGTTTTATCCACGCCTTCATTTCCTATTTATCATAACTATCTGAATACGCTTGTGGCTGAATCTCAAGTTATTGCCGTTTCGGTTCATTACAGAAGACCTCCTGAACAACCTCTTCCCGTTGCGTATGAAGATTCATGGGCTGCACTTCAATGGGTGATTTCGCATTCCAAAGGCGACGGCCCCGAGGAATGGTTGAACGACTATGCAGATTTTGGACGTATATTTTTGTCCGGCGAGAGCGCCGGCGCTAATATAGTCCATAATTTGGCAATAACAATTGGGAATTCTGAATTAGATTTAGGGCTAAATGTTAACATTCTTGGTGTTGCACTGGTTCATCCGTACTTTTGGGGTTCAGATCCAATCGGGTCGGAGGCGGTGGATCTGGATAGGAAGGCATCAGTGGACAGATTGTGGCCGTTTGTGTGTCCATCAAATCCAGATAACGATGATCCACGGGCCAACCCGTTGGCAGAGGGTGGGCCGGGCTTGAGGGGTTTGGGTTGTAGGCGGGTTCTTGTCTGTGTGGCGGAGAAGGATATATTGAAGGATAGAGGTTGGCTTTATTTTCAGGCATTGGGTCGGAGCGGGTGGATGGGTGTGGTTGAGATCCATGAAACAGAAGAAGAGGATCATGCTTTTCATTTACATGATTTGCAATGTGAGAAGGCCAAAGAATTGATTTCAAGAATGGCTGCATTTTTCAATAGGGATATGCCTCCAATGTTGCATTAAAATTGGAGTATTTCATATTTCTATTATAGGAAAAAATGAAAAATTTCTCGTTTTATACCAATGTTGTGAGTCATATCATCTATACGAATGAATCAATTATGGTTTTGTCACAACCAGGATGTTCAATAAGGTAGTAGGCGTTTTTCTTGTGTTTTTGGTACTGTTCAGTAATAGTTTCATTGATATATTCTCGTTAATGTCATTTGTATTGAATATCATATATTTGGTTATGATATGATAATTGTTCGAGTTTGCTTTTCATAAAGAAAATTAGGTCAACTTTGACAAGTAAAACATCTTCAAAACTTACTAATTAAAGCTAGGTAGGGATTGCCATTGATCCTTTCTTTTAATTCATCAATAGACGAGTGATGACTTTTTCCAAACCAATTATTGCACCACACCTTACAATTTTTTTTTTTTTTGAAAAGAAAATAATTCACATTCATGGTTTAGTCAATTAAAGGGGTTGTTTGCAATTTTTTTTTTTTTTTATTAAGAATGCCATTCCCCTAGAATCCACTCCGAGTTGGAGGAGCAACTAGTCTCACTTCTTGAGTAGTCGAGATATTAAACAAGGAATTTTAACAGATTTAATAAAAATTGTGTATCCAATAAAATGTTTTGTTAAAATTACTTGTTGAATTTACTATTGACATTTTTAACAACGTTTAAGTTATACCAAACAAAGCGTTAAGAAATTGAATCACGTGGAAAAACAATAATGTTATTACGTATCATGCTCATCTCATACGTGCTTCCAATAAGTGTATAATTAATCATTTCATTTAAAAATTACTTAGTTAAAAGATTTTGCAATATCTTTATCAATTATATAGTGCATTTATTAAATTAATTTTCAGTTATTGAATTTTCGTCTTGTGACATGTTAACAAACCAAAATTGCCATATCCTTGGACCAATTCGACAAACATATCAATAATTCATACTATGCTATAATTTCAAGAAGAGATGCTTATGAATGAACAAAAGGATTAATAATAAATGGATTTGATGGCTAGATTAACTGATTTTTTAGCATTTCATTCTATAACCAACCAAATAATTATTGGAATATATTTGGCAAAGAAATAGAAAATATATAATATTGGGGGATTTTATTGATTTATTCTACAAGTTATGCTATTTATTCCAACGGGGAATAATCATGTGATGTGGCATGGTAAGACTAATTCATTGGCCTTAATATTTCATTGCGCATCACCTATTATACAAACTGGTGATCATCATTGATGGGATTAGTATCATTATTCTTTATATGAGTAATACTGTAAAATATTATCAGTGTTAAAAACATAGGATAAAACTACTTTGCTAGTAGGGTTTGACAGAAAGTTTGACATAATTGCATATGGCAATAGATTAATGAATGAAGAAATTGACTTTATTTTAAATTGTCCAACGATATAGTGTCACGTGACATTATGTTAAACTTTATGTCAAGCTTTATTTTAGTGTAACATGATTGTAAAACTTATGTTTCGGTGACAATCAACAGGTATTAAATGATAGGTAATCTTAAATGGGATCCATATCGACAGCTCACCTATAAATTAATGCCATAAATGGTATTTCTCTCATTCTGCGGTCCAAATCCATGGATCCAACTCTTGCATTGGCCTTGAGCTTCAATCTATATTTTTCAAGATTTGCCCCTTTGTCTATCCTCTACTTCAGTTTCAATCTTGCAAACAGTTCTAATTTTTAGCCAAGAGACTCGCTCACAGATGGATTCAAGCAGTGATCAGGTCATTCATGATGTTCCACCTTTCCTAAGGGTGTACAAAGATGGAACCATAGAGAGACTCCTTGGAACAGAAACAGCACCAGCAACCTTTGATCATCGAACTGGAGTTTCCTCCAAAGACATAGTTGTCATACCCGATAACAGCGTCTCTGTCCGGATTTATCGACCCACTCTCACAATCGACCACCAAAAACTTCCTCTGGTGGTCTACTTTCATGGTGGAGCATTTTTCATATCCTCAGTATCTGATCCCTTGTACCATAACGTGTTAAATATA